ATAAAAAGAGACTGAATGTTCGGCACCCAGCTGCCGTGTTTATACGTATGTTTGCAGTCGTGTCTCAAACAGCTAAAGGTGAGGACACTCCACTCAGCACTGGACCGACCTCTTATCTCACCGTCATTCTGTATCTGTCATAACTCCACACCTTTCTCATCAACTAAAGATTTTACAAAATTGAATCCGTTCTTGAGACAAATATTTGCAACAATACAAAAACATACATCTGCAGCGTACCTCAAAGAGAAAGAAAACTTTACAGAAATAAGAAGTCAGATGTCATTATTTATCATCTTGAATCTTACTTATTTATGAGGCAGAAACAATGAAATTCTCGGTTGAATTCATCCTGAATTATTTAATCTGAAATGGTTAATTCCATACAAAGCCTGGGCAGATCCCTCCTCTGTTCTGATAAATACTTTATCACTGTTCCTAAATCGAAAAACAGCAGGAGGAGAAAGATGGGAGTGAAAAAAACAACTTCTCACTGTTTCTTGTTGTGCTTTGTTTTAGAAAGTGTTGGTTTAAATGTTTTGTGCTAAATTTGTGAAGATTTCTTTAATAATTGAAGTTGGAGGAAATGTTATTGTATTTTTATATATATATGTATATAACATATTCAGCCTCACTGATCCCAGCCTTATCTATCTGTTTATTTTGTATAATGATTCTTATTGGTCGTATCAGAAAATCATCTAAGTGGATAAAGATGTAACACTTTCTTAAAATTACTTAAGAGGTTTTATGAAGTATTTTGCACACAGTGGATTTTCTTGCAGTCCCACGTTGACAAAGTCAAAAGCCGCCTAATGAAAAGGGACGCATCGCTGATTGCAGCTATATCTGGAGCCGAGGTGGAAGTGGCATCGATTTAACAATTTAGCAGTACCCTCCTCTGTGTGTTTCCATTAGTCACGGCTGAATACCACCCACTTCCCCCCTTTCACTTCCTCAAAACTCACACATATGCGCACACACACACACACACACACACACACACACACACACACACACACACACAGCTGGGAAGGTATATTCCACTATCCCTGAGCAGGGTTTACAACATTTAAACGGATAACATTAGTGGTTCCAGCACAGTGGACAGCGGACATAAGGGCACACACAGAAAACTTTGCCATGCTACAGAATACACCTTTTATTTTTGTGACTCAGTGCATGTGCAGGCTATAGTGCATGTGTACAATATTGTATATTTTTTATGTATGTGAATCGTACAACCTTGCTTCAGGGACGTGTGTTTGTGTATGTGGTCACAGTTGTTCGCTCACATTTGTCCATAAGATTTGTCCATAATTGTTGACAGAGAGAGAGAGGCCATATCAAAATGTCCAAAAAGGATGATACTTTGTTTATTGACCATTCGCTAAAACCCTTTGCCAAACAGCAATTTTCCATTTGTAGCTCAGCAGCCATAATTTGGCTCGGCATCTTTTCAACTGTGGGATTTCTTCACATATTGAAGACATGTGCATGAGACCTATTTAGAGAACTATACTGGACAAGTTTGGGGTGATGGGTTGACATTTTATAAACCTTCCAAAACCAGAAATAAAAGAGCAAAGGTGTAAGAATTGGATTAAGCTGCAACCATCAGCACACCAAGGTAACTAGTTTACTACCACCTGTCACCAAGTATAAGGTTACTTAGGTTATGCTAGTTATTCTCAACTAGCATGCCCTTCATCCATTTGTGTGGTTACATGGTCAAACAAAAGCAACCACTCACATCTAGCAAATCCACGGTGTAGCATTTTCTCATTGTCCGTCCAGGAGGCATTCATCCTAACGTTAAAGCTAGGGTTGGCAAAGCTGGAAAAGCAAGAGCGGGCTACACTTCAAAAATATGCAACCAATACATCCCATCCCCTCCCATCAGCCCTCTTGTTAAAGCTACGCCCCTAAAACACATTAAAACACAAACGTGACTCGCTCGCTAACTTCTGGTTATCATCTCTGTTTCAGCTGTTTATGTCTCTGCGGCGGGGAGTCAGATGAAATGATTGGTGTTTATTACAGCCCTGCCAGGGCCACAGACACAGACGATGGCTTTTCTTTCTTTTCTTTTTTCAGACGACTTCATTTATTGAGGTCTATCAAGACATGAAGAGAATTTTAACAAATAAAAAGGATATCCGATAAAACTTACCAATCCTAGCTTTAACAGCCCTGCCCTGCTCTTTATTTAATTTAAGCAACATTACATTTATGTTACAGATGCAAAACGGGCTGATTACTCCACATTTTAAAAGCCTGCGTGTCTTCTTCTTCTTTAATCATTAAGTGGTGATGGTGCCGACCTTCTTCCCTGTGACATGAAACTCTCGCCTCAATCTTTTCCTGTCAATCTATGTGGCCGTCAAGTGCATATTTAAGACATGTTTACAAACTGCAGTTTTAAAAGTCATTCAGAGTTGGTGTTTTTGAACTAAACTAATTGACAATATGATTAATGAGGAGTTTTTGGAATTTGTATATCTCTGTCTTTAAAAAAAATTACAAATTTGCCGGCTACATCTGCCAAAGTTACACTGCATGAATGGAAAGATTGATTGGCGTAGCAACAGTGAGTAAAAGGGTGGTGCTCAGCAAATGGTCAATCGTCACAACAACACAATATAGACTTCATGTCCAGCAGTCTTTGAAATATTCCGTTGTTGATGAGTTGGACTACAAAGATGACGTAGACCGAACAAGTTCAAAGGGTTGTCCAGGTATTCTGACGTCTATCGCGGCGTCATTAAAGCCTTTCCACACTTCAGCTGGTTTGGGCTGTTGGAAAGGCGGACCATGGAATACTCCGTCCACCCATTCTCTGAGCGTGGCGACTGGTGATTCCTGTTGCCTGTCTGCCTTAGTGAGCCCCATACTTGATGGATACACAGGAGAGGAGGAGCCGTTGGATGAGAGCATACAGGGAGGGTACTCTGGCTGCAAGCTGCCATCCAAAGACGCAGCAGTGTGAGCGATGGACCATATTTTCGGCTTGACATCTGTGCCTTGAAGGTCTGGGTTTGGAAAGAAGGAGGTGTTTTGGTGTTGGACTGGTGTGAGTCTGGGGCAGTCTGGGGACAATCTGTCTTTTCGGTGAAGCGGTTCAGGGTTGTGTGTGAGGTGCTCGTGTGGGAGATCTGTGTTTGGGTTTTCTCCATCGTCCTCAGGTAGGAATTGTGGCTTCGGTTCAGAGTCAGAAGCGTCAGACTCCAGCAGGTCGAAGTCCTCGAGATCACTCTGCAGGTCGGCACACTGTTGATCTGCAAAAATGAATCATACAAATAATACTCAGATTATACATGCTACCTTAAAACAGTACAGAAATGCATTGACTGGTTTAAGCCTTCTGCTTTACCAGGATGGTCTTTTTCATCTTTAACTGGCTTCTCAGCTTCATCACTGTCATCATCACAGCCTCGATCATCAGAGCCTTTACAAGCTCGCGGTGACCACGTCACCTTGTTCTCCTTCTTCAGCCTCCTGCGTGCATTGGCAAACCATGTAGACACCTGAGGGAGAGAGCGAACAGAGGTCATAAAAAGAGATAAAATCAAAGGGATAGTGGGAAGAAGGAAGTTACGCAGCCATGAAGGGCAGATTGAAAGAAGGGAAGTGAAGGAATGGAGAATATAGGAAGTAAGGAAGAGACTCATGTGTTAAAATTCAAGTGTAAAATAAGCAGTGCAAACAGATAAAGAAAAAGTTGAAGGAATGTATTGAGAGAAAATACTAACTAGGGCTCATGGGCAGTAGAGTTGAAACTTGTAATAAATGTAAGAGATATTCACCTGTGTGAGAGTCATCCTGGTGATGATAGCCAGCATTATCTTCTCTCCCTTTGTGGGGTAGGGGTTCTTCTGGTGCTCCTGCAGCCAGGCTTTCAGGGTGCTGGTGGTCTCTCGGGTGGCATTTTTGCGACGAGAAGCACCATCAGAGCAGGAATACCTGAAGAAAATCGTAATGTTACACAATATTCATTTCTGTCTTAGCAGAAATGAGTGAGTGAAATTCAGCATGGAAGAATGGACCCTGTATTTTATGAGTAACTATGTGGGGTATTAAATAATATATGAATGATCTCTTATAGGATAGAAACTATACCATTGAGAACAATAAAACCACTGCTGTAAAAGCGCCACCATTTCCAGCCACTGAATCCCAGAGAGGATATTATAGGTGTGGTATAATAACAATACCAAGACAGTGAGGAATATGACACATGATACATATTTTTATCTCTTTGTCTCTATTCCTTAGCAGGACGTCTAACACAAAGATACAAATTTAAATGTGGAAAAAAGGACAAACAGACGATGACTTACCCATATCTGTCATAAGAATATTGTCCAAATGTGTATTCATAGGGGTAGTAGGCAGGAGTCTGAGATGTCCCCACATGCACAGATGCAGCCCCGTCTTTTGGATCCAATGGCCCCTGAAAAAAAATTGGCACATAACTCACATAAATACAAAATTAATCAGAATCCCTGAATAATTCCAACAACAGGAACACTCCAGTGACTTTAGAAAAAAGCTGGAAATTATTGACATTTTTTTCTGTTTCAAATAACATTACCATATCATTTCAGACAAGGTATAGTCTTCAAAAATGACAGGGTCCCTGCTTCCCTGATGCTAACTACGATTCTTATGTAAGAATTTTGGTAAATATTTGTAGAAAGGATCTTATGAATGAGCTGGATTGTGAGACTCACTCTGGAATAGAGCGCTGTGGCATCGCTGGTGCAGGCGTTGTAGTAACCTTGGCTCTTTGGGTAAGGGCCGCTGTAGACTCCGATGCCGGTGCTCGGGGTGAGCTGGGGCCCGGGGGAGCGCAGCACCGGGTGAGACGGAGGAGTTCCCGGTTCCAGACAACCAGCCAGAGAGCTTGAGGTCATCAGAAACTTTGGGAAGAAAATTGTTCAATTTAGACAATTCGTCACTGAGAAAGAAGTTTGCTAACATTTAAAACATATAGATACGGTAATACATTGCATTACAAAATCGTCACTTAACAGTTTTTTGTAGACACTGTTGTTGTTGTTGTTGATGGTTTAGGTTAAATCTTGAAAGACATGATTTAAAAGAACCACGAGAAATAATCTGGAGGCGGAATTGTCATGTTTTTTAAGAAGAACCTAGAGTATATTCACATGGCTCAAGTCAAGTCTCAACTTAAATGTCGTTAAACATGCTTAAGATATTGACAGTACCTGCGGTGTGGTGGAGTATGGGTATCCCAGCTGAGAGTAAGCCATGGCACAAATCAGATCTCACAGGCAGGAGCAGGAGCGCAGACCCGAGACCACATTCAACAGCATCCGTGGCAGAGGCAGACTTTCACCGCTGTCACTAGTTCCGAGCGAGTTTTGCGTTTATCATCTACCACCTTATCCAGACGGGGACGCGCGGACATTTACGCACCACTTTCATTTTACGCACGGCGAAGAACGGTCTTCAAAAAGTAACTTCTCGACTCCCCCTCCGGTTCCGCCTCACTCAAGTCGCTACTGCAGCTTCTGCAGTGTCCCTGCTGAGGTTACAATCCAAAGCGAGTGTGTGTATCGGTGTGTGTGGGTGTATATATGTGTGTGTGTGATCAAACCGTTCATCTCTCTGTGATGCGCTCTTTGGCTTTTAAGGCGCGTCTCTCTGACGTCAGCGCAGGACTCTGGTGTGTATGTGTTATGTGTGTGTTCATATCAAGACGAAGAAACTCACCTAATTAACCCCCCC